GTCAAAATTTGCATCAGTCTACTGTACACCCAGATGCGGACGAAGCCTCATTGTCTCATCATGGATGATGAAACTTACGTCAAGGCGGACTTTCGGCAGCTTCTTGGGCTACTGTTCTTCACCGCCCAGCACAAGTTTGATGTTCCGGAGGAAGTAAGGAAGTAGAAACTTTCAAAGTTTGCCAAGAAATACATGATTTGGTAAGCGATCTGCTCATGTGGCAAACGGAGTGCGCCATTCGTGACTACCGGGACTGTAAACGGGGAGATCTACCTCAAGGAGTGTCTACAAAAGCGTCTGCTTCCTCTGTTCAAGCAACACGAGGACCCTACGATCTTCTGGCCGGATCTAGCTTCGTGCCACTATTCAAATGTTGTCCTGGAGTGGTACGAAGCCAACGGGGTGACTTTCGTACCTATGGACATGAACTCTCCACCGTACCGGAACTAAGGCAAATCGAAAAATACTGGGCTATTATGAAGCAGGCACTACGAAAGCATCCCAAGGAGGTCAAATCTGAGGAAGACATGAAGAAAAAGTGGATTTCCGTACAGAAGAAGCTGCAGCCAGATGTTGTACAGAACCTAATGAGTGGATTTAAGCGTAAGGTGTGAGCGTACGGTTATGGTATTGTAGTTGAATGAAATAAATATGCTAAAAGCTTACTAATATGTTATATTTTATTGTCTGAAATTTTGAAAAGGATTGGACAACTAGGTAATTTTCTACAGTGTTTTTTTCCGTGATTCAATTTGATGTGGGACACCCTTTAGAACGGAAATAAGCGACTACGAGGAAATAGCCGAGTGGGGGTTACCGGGATTTCCTCAAAATTGTAAATTTAATGCCTGCTCGTACAGCATTAAATTCTCAATTTTCGGGGAAATCCCGGTAATTTTGAAAAAAAAAATGCTTTGATTTTTGCCCTGGGATTTCCCGGAAAGGACCCTCTAGTCAGACAGCTGTTCTAATATCGGCAACTTGAAAACATCTGCAGATTGTGGTAAGCATGTTTCATTTCACAAAAAATAAATAAAATACATTGGCTTAGGTCGTGTATTGGCGCAATTTTAACGCGGTTATAATTGAAATATTACAGCCACTGTTGCTGGATACCTCTCACTAAAATCTGTGTCAATTTTATTTGGTTAAAAATAAACGTTCACAATGGTTTTGGAAATTATGTTATTTGCTCTGTAATGTATTTATTACAACAGCGGCGCCGGTGGTGTAGTTGTAAGTGTGATTGCATCTCACCCCAGAAAGCCTGGGTTCAATCCCAGTCGGCACCACCGGAATGTTCTGAGGCATAACATCTCTGATTACGCCTTCCTTCGTGGGAAGTAAAGCCGTTGGTCCGCGGTTCCATGAGTTGATGGGTCGATAGGTAGGGTCCAGGTGTGGGAGCTGCCTCCCTGGCGTCGGTAGCATTGGTGCTCAGCACGGAAAACAAGATCGACGGAAAACGAATCAAGGAAAAAAATCCACATATTTTGGAGCTCCCAGGATAAGTCCGTAAAACAGATAAAAAACGTATTCTTTAAAACAAATCTCAAAAACCAAAAATCGGCACCCTCATTGAAATATAATATTAACAAGGGTCCGTTTCGTCAAATCCGTTCCAAACATAGATGCATAATTCCTCTGATCAACACCTCTACAAACTATGAATCCTACTGTGGGAAAACGATAATTAACAGCCCGTCATGCATAACGATCAATTTCAAGCTTTTTAATGACCTAATGTCTTCTCCATTTTTGGGCAGAGCGCCGCACCGAACAGCCCCATGATCAGCGTGCTGTGATTATTCACCTTTTAGCATACACTTCTACTATCATCAATCGATTAACAAGTTGTCGAACCCGTTTTGGCTATATAGTGACTATAGCTACAGCAGACATCGCCTCGGGCTCCGGAGATCCTGGGAGCGGACGAATCCCAGGTCGGGTACCAACGTCAGAATTACATACATTCATTCAAGAGCCCGATGCTGATCGCGTTCCGTAAATTACAACGTACGTGATCTGTTCATAAAAGTTCGTTTCCGCAGGCGTGCTACGGAGGTAAGGTGGAATTGTAATGGACCTGGCGCTAAGTCAATGTACACTTTGTATGGTTCGCGCTCTCCGTACATAGGTACTCAGTACACGCGAAAGCACCTCCTCAGAATAAGTCATGACACGTTGCGTGTTTATCTTCCGGATAAATAAAATACCTCGTAATATCAGGGTCATGATGCCGTCTGGTCGTTGTTGGTTCGTTGGTTGGTGCGCAAGTAGCAGCCCTAGCCCTGGCAGCAGCAGCAACAGCGGTTAAATGGACGTACTATAGGAAAATATTGGCGATTGTTGAATAATATTTACATACAGGTTCAGACCGGCGTCCGAGGGTGCCCGCATATGCGATGCTCGGGCGATCTGAATTATGGGGAATTGGGATATTTTCCATCGTGAAGCAGATCGAACTTTGAGAGCGACGACGACAGAGCTGTGGCACGGAGCTGTAACCTCTACAAGGATATGCAAAACATATTTCAAGCCGAGTTGTGAGGTTGCGGTTTTTTTTTTATGTAAGGTAGACGAAGATGAAAATGGAAGTAGAATATTTGCGTTGCTTGCTAAGAGGATAAATAATGACGTCGTCGGGGAATTTTCTGGAAATTCAATTTCAATGTGAACACTTGAATGGCAGAACGGTCCATGTTTTCTGTCATGATTTTCTTCATTTTTAACGGCTTTACCATGCTCAGTGGGGCCAAAGTGACAGAATTCCTTCGTGGGCGCTTGATTTGGACTTGATCTTTGTCTAGATCAAACCTTTGAATTAATTGTTGAGGTTATGTCGTGATAAGACTCTCTGCTGGGTTGCTCAAGTAGTATGTAGTAGTAACATATTTTTTTATTTACATTGATTAAGGTGTTACATAAGTTTTTACATGACAAGTGATTTAGCCAGAAAGGCTCTTCATCTATGAATGTGGGTTGGATTTCATTTGTTTGAAATGAATTTTACGTTTGGCTTCTAGTTCTCATGTATAGTTAGAAGTGAAAACTTGATAACCTACCTAACTACAATAAACTTATTTTAATATGCTTGATCCCTAAGAATCTGTTGATCTGACCTCAGACAGGTATCTCTGAACCTTTCCAGGAAGAACGTTCTCCGCTCCTCCAGTGTCTGAAGAATAGCCAGGCGGAGGACCTCGAGATTAATAGGTTCGCGGAAGGGTCATTCTAAAGATCTTGTTTTGGATCCTTTGAAGCTTAAGCACAACTCTCCCAAAGTTGGCATACAGTACTCTATTATATATAAGAATTTTTTTTTGTGATAACCTTTAAAACACTGCTTAATTTCTAAAGAAGGAGCATTGAAATTGTACGAATTTTCAAGATTCCATAAAACGTTGAACAATGAACCATAAACGAACAAAATTGATCCATAGAAAATCAAGTTTGTGCACTAAAAAATATAGATGATCCATAAATTAGACATATATTTTTTACATTTTTTGGAAACAATTTATTTTTTTTTAAATCAATACATCTTGCACCTTCACTGCATGACTACTCATTGATTTACTATCCTGCCCGTGCTTTTCTTTATCAGAGGAGTGGAGCGACGGGCAAGCGTTCAGAGTAAGCTTCTAGAATAAGGCTCTAGCACCCAACAAACATTGGGCCGTCCTGAATGAACTATATCCATCCTCTTCAAGGTGGTTTGTTTAAAAGGACGTTAATAGATGGAAGCACAGCAACAAACATTGGAAGCAGCATAAGAGTTTATTCAGGCAAAAATATGCTTCTTCATCTAAAAAATGGCTTATCCAGGTTTTGATCAGTTCAAATTTTTTATTGGGTAGCTTCTAGAATAAGCTTCTAGAATATGCTTCTAGAATAAAGTTCTAGAATAAGGTTCTAGCCAGGGTTACTTCCACTCACTTGCTATAAAAAAATGTTTTTTTGGAATTATGAAATCATGAAATAGTATAATGCTAATAAGTACTTGTAAATTACAAGAAGAGGTCATGAAGTATATGTTTGACACATTAAATCTGTCAATATTGCTTTCAGTGCGTCACAATCAGCGATTTTACGACTCGTGAGTGCTCACTCTGAGTGAACGCTCACGAATCATAAGATCGCTGATTGTGACGCTCTGAAAGCGAAATTGACAGGTTTTATGAGTCAAACACATACTTTACACCCTCTTCTTGTTACTTACTAGTACAACATATCATTATAACATCTAATGATTGCATAATTCCGAAAAATATTTTTTTATAGCAAGTGAGTGGAAGCAACCCTGGTTCTAGCATACCCACAAATCATTCAAAGCAGGATAAGAGCTTATTAAGGCAAAAATATGCTTCTTTAGCTGGCTCCTTCAGCCTTTAATCAGTTCAAATTATTTGTTGGGTTAGCTTCTAGAATAAGCTTCTAGAATATGCTTCTAGAATAAGCTTTTAAGACAAGCTTTTAGAATAAGCTTCTACACACAAAATCACGGCCTCCCTGTTCGGTCAGTTTTTACTGAGTATTTGATCAGCTGAAAAAGTCATCAAAATTTTTTTGATGATAAAACATATAGGGGAATTGTATGTAATGTCGGCCTAATTGCCCCTAATTTGGGCCCATACATAAATTCAGCAATCAACTAAATTTTCAATAGCGACCAAAAGTATCCATTAGTACCGTCCCAATGAAGCATTCAACTAGATAAAATTGATAAATAACAGATTTCTAACGATTGGCCCAATCTTAGATCCATAGGCCAACATTAAAGCCATTTCCCCTAATATGTTTATATTGTTCATTTGTGACGCTTATTTTCGCATTACTGGATTTTTCAGCTGTTTAAAACCCAGTAAGAAACACTGACCCCCGTAAAATAATCTTTGTGTGTAGAATAAGCTTCTAGAACAAGCTTCTGCAAATGCTTCATCTGGATACTTTTAGAAGCTTCTTTTAGATTTTTTTCCAGAAATGTTGGCCATACTTACCTTACCAATCAGGCTAAGGCTTTGTTGTGCTCTGCTGTCCGAAGAAGTCGTCTCCACTCTACTCGATCCATGAACACACTTCGCCAGCGTCGTAGTCTGCAGGTCGCCTTCTATTTGGTCGATCCACCTTTCCCGCTGCGTGCCTCTTATTCTTGTTCTTGTTGATTCGTTTTCGATAATCATTTTCATTGGGTCGTCGTCCGACATTCTTACGACGTGCCCAGCCCACCGTAGTCGCCCATTTTTTGCAATGTGGACGATAGATAGTTCTCCTAGCAGCTGGTGAAATTCGTGGTTCGTTCGCTTATTCCACGTTCCGTCATCCAGCTGCACTCCACCGTAGATGGTACGCATCACCTTCCATTCGCATAGTCCAGATTTCGTGGCCGTAGCGGACCACCGGTCTAATCAGCGTCTTTTAGAAAGTCAACTTCGCGCGGCGGTAAATTTTCCGGAGTCCAAAGTAGGCACGATTCCCTGCCATAATGCGTCTTGAATTTCTCTGCTGGTATCATTTTTGGTGGTCACCAGTGAGCTCAAATGCACGAACTCATCGACCACCTCTATTTCATCACCGTCAATCTGAACTCGGGGTGGGAGGCTAACGTTGTCTTCCCTAGTTCTTCCTCTCATGTATTTTGTCTTCGATGCGTTGATGGCAAGTCTAATCCGCTATCCATACAAAACAATTCGCTACAAACTTCGTCAAGATACATAATTTGTCATTTAATAAAACTAAATTCTTTAGATAACTGTTCAAAAACAGCTTCAACGTGTGAAATGCAATGTCTCTTAAATTATGTTAGTGTAGTTGCACGTTTAATATGTCTAGGTAGCGAATTGAAAATATTTATTCCTTTAAAATACAATAAATTTTGTGAAGCACAGGTCAAGAAATGTGGTGTTCTTATTTCATCCGCGTTTCTAGTATTATATCTATGAAAGTGATTTCCACTTTCAATTCGATTACACAAATATCGAGGCAGCAAATCGTTATCTACTTTAAAAATGAACACCATAAAGCTCGATTCAAAGTAAATCTGGTCGCACGGTTTAACACACCACCGCGCCCTTATTGGTTGGAACAAAAAACGTTTGAGAGGCATTTGTTGATGTTTCATTGACGAAAAAATTGGTGAAAAGTTTTTCTCGATTGATCGACGCATCCCGAAATTACGGATCATGTAACTTGAGAAAAGAAAATTAATTATGCATAAACATCTAGAGAACCCTTCGTGGTCTGCCTCAAAAATAGCAAAAGTGTTAAAATTCCCAAATTCAACGGTGAGTCTTGTAATCAAACGTTACAAGGATACTCTGAGTGTAGATAGAGCACAGCGCATCTATCATAAAAGTGGCACTAGGGTCAAAGCGCTGAGGAGAAAGGTGTTGAGGTACGTGAAAAGCAACCCAGGTATGGAGACACGTGATTTGGCAAAGAAATACGATTACAACTTTTCCACCGTGCGTAACACTCTTTCAAGAGAAGAATATAAGTCTTTTTGTGCCAGTAAACATCCGAATCGCTCCCTGAAACAAAATTTAGAGGCCAAAAAGCGAGCACGATTACTATACAAACGAGTTTTGACGAAATATGATGGCTGTATTTTAATGGATGACGAAATATATGTCAAAATGGATTATAAACAAATCCCCGGACGAAATTTTTACCTGGCAACTGGTCGTGGGGATGTCCCTTCCAGGTATAAATTTGTTTTTGCAAATAAGTTTGCTCGGAAACTATGATTTGGCAAGGAATCTGTAGTTGTGGCCTTAAAACCAAGGTTTTCATCACATCTCACACAATGACGTCAAAGGTTTAGATTAAAGAGTGTCTGAAAAAGCGGATTTAACCCTTCATTCAGCAACACAAGACCAACGTTATGTTTTGGCCGGATCTAGCCAGCTGCCACTACTCTAAGGAGGTACTAGAATGGTATGCTGCAAACAATGTTAATTTCGTCGCCAAAGAGGTTAATCCTCCGAATTGCCCTGAGTTCAGACCGATCGAAAAATATTGGGCAATTGTCAAGCGAAAACTTCGAGGATGCGGTAAAGAAGTGTCAAATGCACAACAAATGCGTTTAAAGTGGAATAAGTTCGCCGGTACTGTGTCACCAGCGACTGTGCAGGTCACGATGGCATCGATCACAAGTAAAGTGTGACAGTTCGTTCGAAATGGTGAAATGTAATAACTTGTCATATATCGTTTGAAAGCTGAATAAATACCCTTTTGTTTGACGTTTTGATCAAGCGTGTATGTTGTTTAATTCTTATGTTATGATCACTTGAATGCGTCCAAATTTACTTTGAATCGGGCATTAGTCAAATATACAATTCATTGCTTCACCGACAACCAATTTAAAGCATCTAGCATAAAAGTTGAGGAAGTGAATCAATTACATCTCAAAATCAAACGCATTATTTTACTCTGCAAGCGCTGTAATCTCGATATTTGTGTTGCATGGGCCAAAAATAAAATGGAAGAGCAAAAGTCTAGATGAGGAGAAGTGATTGATTGGTACAGCTGTATTTTACTGCTAATAGTTAAATCGTTTTTAATCGGCATAGAATTCCATACTTCTTCGCAACGTTATTATTGAATTAAATTTAAGTTTGTCATCAACAATCACGCCAAGATGTTTAATCACCCGAACACGATCAATAGCCTCATCATCAATTACAACGGAGACGTTCTCATTTATTCGATTCCGCGAAATTACCATAAATTTAGTTTTACTTATATTCAATCTCAATTGCTTCTACTTGCACCATCTGCTTGGAGAATGCAAATCTTCATGCATGTGTATAACGGCATCATCTAAATCCTTAGATGCAATAAATAACACAGTATCGTCTGCAAAATGATTAATGTCGCAAAATCTTAAAACACGTCGCAAGTCATTAATATACATAATAAATAAAAGGGGCTCTAATACACTTCCCTGACACTCCAAGGTTATTCTACACGGGACTGGAAATAGAATTATTTAAAACAGTCCGTTGAGTCCTGTCACACAATTAGCTTTCAAACCATTTAAATGCAGTACTGGTAATTCCAAAGCACTTGATTGTTCGTATCAATAAGGGCCTAGAAATTGTTTCAAAAGCGCGTTTCAGATCCACAAAATAGCAACAATCGTATCTTTACTCTTCAAGTTATCTTTCCACTTCGCTAATACCAAATTCAACGAGGTTTCACAAGAATGACTTTCACAATATCCCGATTGTACTGGTATCAACAAGCTATTAATATTTAAAAACTCCAGGTCAGCTTTTCACAACAAGTTCTAAAATTTTCTCTAATGTGTGCAACATGTTGATGGGACGAAACTCTTCGGCTTTATTCGTTCCAGCAACTCTATGAATAGGAACCACCAAGGATTCCTTTCAAATTTGTAACACATGACCAGTCTGCAATGATTTTCTAATAAGGTCCAGCAAGATGTAGCCAATGACATGAAAGTAATCTTGAATAACTCTAGCATTAACATTATCTATTTCAGCCGCTTCACATTTGAATGAAACTTAGCATATATGTTTGTTGCTATGCAAGGTGAAATTTCTATTAAAAAGTTGTATATTTTTAAGGAACTTAGTTTTATAATGGTTTACGTAAAAAATGGGGTTTATTTCTTCAAAAAATCATAACTTGAAAACGCTTTGATCAAAGTGGCGTCTGAGAAGAAGTTGTAGGGCTTAGATATAATTTTGAGCCTACTAAGCACAATCCGCTCTTTGCCTCTATTTTCCGAGTGGATTTTTTTTCTTCACAAAATGTAATGGTTTTATTGAAGATGACTTCTAAATTTATTTTCCTTTCCGTACGTACCGTAAGATTTGATAAAGAGAAACAAATTGTTGAGCTATTGCTAAAAATCTAACACTTCTTCTTGACCCCAAACTTGACCAATGGTTTCCAAATCAGGCCTATTGCATTGAAACGCCATTAAAACGCCAATCACTTCGGCCTATAGGATGAAGATAAAAATTGATTCGGTCGGAGTGCTTCTTTTGTTTTTGAGAAACATGGGTGTACACATTCATATCAGCCGGCGCCGGTGGTGTAGTGGTAAGCGTGACTGCTTTCTAACACCCCAATGGGTCTGGGTTCAATCCCAGCCGAGGTCGGTGGGATTTTTCTGAGGCATAAAAATCTCTGGTCACGTCTTCCTTCGGAAGGGAAGTAAAGCCGTTGGTCCCGGCCCATGTGTGTTGTGAATGGGTGCGATATCCTACGCAGGTGTTGAAGCTGCCTTCCTGCACATTCGGTTGCCGTCAATGGATGGCAATCGATGTCCGTCGGTGATTGGCACTAGATTGCGGAACAGAGACCGACGTTAAATAAAGGAAAAAAAAAAAAAAACATTCATATCACGCGTTCTCATTGACTTCGTTCGGTAGCTTTTGAAAATAATGGATTTATTTGATGTTTTCTGCTCGCGAAAATGGGCGATTAGGCCGAGGAAGTGCTCTACCTCACCGGTTTAAAATTTAGTATTGCTAAAATCAAATCATGCCAAAATTGGGCGGTTTTGTTTTGTAATTTATTTAATGATATCGATGATTCCAGGCCACCATGGAGTGGAAAGAAATCAAAATAATGGTAATATATAATTTACTTCTATTAAAATTCACAATAAACTTGAAAACGGGTTGACTAAAGAAAAATATTAATATTAATTAATTCATTGGAAATGATGCATAAAATCAAAAAAAAAAATGTTAAATTTGAATGCGTTTAGAAAATTGATTAAAGCAAAACATTGTTAAAAAATACTTTAAAGCATTTTAGCTTACCAAATGAAGCATTCTTCCCAAAAATAAACATTTCAACTTTTATCATGATTTTACAGTGATATGGAGATCGAAGTAGGTCACGCTGGAAAGTTGACATGTTTTTAATTTTGCTGCTGATTTTCATTTGGTGATTTTAACCATTTTAACAAACTTACGATTGCTCAATTGTTCAAAATCTCATGGACGGGATTGAAATAGGTCAGACCATGGCGGATGATAAGTGAAAAAGAAAAAAAGAAGATCCAGAAGCGGTGTTTGTTGGGAGCTGTCTTAGCTGATGGGCAACGAAGATCCTAAGATGATCACGATGGTGTGAATCCAGCAGGCTTATAGTGATACCGAGAGATGCCGGACTGTTTCATTTAATGCATCTCTTTTCATTTAACTTTTTTAGATTAGATGCTCCC